CCCCAGCCCCCCCAGGATATCCACATTAGGTTGTGGAAAGTGGCTCATTATTAAATGTGTACAGCATAAAAAAAAAACAAGTTTCTTTATAATTCTAATGGTATGGTACATGTTCACTAAAGAGCAGAGAGCTGGGAACAAGTACATGTCAGCCTTACTTGTAGGTGGCTGAGCTAGACTTTTATCTTATCACCAGATGTTAAGCAGAACCTATGAGGAAAAAATTGCATTGCCTATGACAACAATAAAACCATGTGAGTAATGGCACATAAAAGGAGCAGGACAGAACTCAAAGTGCTAGCTTTGCTGTAAAACCTCACCTTACCTCCACATCTAAGCATTCAAGGTTATGGATGTCTATAGCAAGTGCCTCTTTAAATTTTCTAGTCTTGACCAGAAAAATGCCACTCTAGTTTCTAATGGCTGCTGCACAAACACAATTCCCCTCTACAAATAAAAATGTCAGCACAGCTACAAATGAAGTAATATAAGTGTTTACTACTTTATTAGAAAAGTAATAGTCTTAACATTCAGAAGCATACAAATGACAAAAAACACACTAGAACAAGATTTAAAACAATTAAAATTAACACATACAACTCCACCCACCAGTTCATAACCAGCCAAATAAGTCATCTGCTTAAGGACTCAATGATAGTTCTACATTGTACTGACTCAGAACAATGTACTGCAAAACGTTAAGTAAATAAGATATACAAAGTCCCCAAATCTGTGTAAATAAGTGGTGCCTCCTGGTGAAGATGGACCAATATGGTACGACTGGAGGAGTAAGAAATCCATGTGGATCACAGCCATCTGACTGGCGGTCGTGTTTACTCTGTTATGCTGGGCACACACCTTACAACCATCTCAAGACCTCTGTCTTGCGATGGTTGTAAGGTAATTTAAAAAATGTACGATCTGCCTATCTTGGACAGGCAGATCATAATTGTGATGATCGCAAGCAGCGCGGGCTTCCGATGACCGCAATGCCGAGCGGGCAGTGTGCACTTGCGCACAGCGGCCCGTCCGGCTTTTATCTTACGAACATGCTACACACCCGCCGAACTTCGTACGATGCTCGGCGGGTTTTCGAACATGTTCGTAAGTTAAAAGTCGTGCGACCTTACAGTAGTAGAGGTCGCACGCCTTCCACACACCTTACGATAATCGTATGATCGCGGGATTTCCCGTGATTATCATACTATTATCGTAAGGTGTGTGGGCACCCTTAGCTGAGTTTAAGCTTTTCACTTATAATTTGGTCAAGGTTCAGTAGACATATACAGGGCTATTCATAAGAGGGTGAAGAGTTTGGAGAAGGCATAAGAAGTGAACAATCTAGGATAACATAGCTGAACTGGACAGGGAGCTGAATTACAGAATGTTTCCAAATCAGCTATGTTGTCCTAGATTGTTCACTTCCCCCGCCTTCTCCAAACTCTTCACCCTTATGTGAATAACCCTGGAGGTTTTTAATAAACTCAGCAACTTACATCCATTGTCTTCCTGTAAAAGGACACTTTATTCTTCTGTAGGCGCTCCATGGCATTCTCATACTGTGAGGAAACAATAAGATACATTAGCCTGACATTGGAGTGATAGTTCATAATATCATATAATGATTAGGCAGCCACAATTAAATATCTGCTTGTTTTGATGTTAGTAACCCAGATGGGCAAAATACAGTAAGCAATAAAGTAAAATGCATAGGCTCCTGAAGAATCTTCCGCCAGCCCCAGGCCCATATGGGAGTACAGACCTTCTGCTATGGGGCTGGAGGAAGTAATCAACGGACTACACCTGTGGTGACATCACCACACTTGTGCTCCATTAAGATCCCTCTGCCGTGGTGGTAAATGGAACTTCATAGATCCTGTGAATGGATGATGCTGCTTTCTGGGTGGAGCCATACTCATTCATGACAAATTCAAACCTAAACAGAAGCCCCCATGGATGATAAGTGGGAGGTGGCTTGAAGGTAAAGGGGCTGGGGAATGTGGCCATATTTCATGTTACACCCTAAATATGGGTGTAACAGAAAACATGGTCAGATAGGTGGGCTATTCTTTTAAAGCTGAACTCCAGGCAGATATAAGAGACACCAAAAAATCATTAAATGTATTTATTTATTTTTTTCATGCAAGAAGTCTAAATGCCTGAATTTGACTTGGTGTCAGCCTCCTACAGTCATTGTACAGCAGAGCTCAAACTTGGGGAGGGAAAAGCAACACAGGGAATTAATCAGTTGTGCTGCAGTGCAGGGGCATTCTCATAGGAGGAGAGACAGAGGGATAGAGAAGCAATCATTAGTCTGCTGCTTCTCCTTTTACTGTCTAGTCGCAGGGTCGGGGTGGTGAGCATACTTGTGTTACTAAACTGCAGCCGTGGAAAAAAAAATCAGGTCTCCTTGCCTGCCTGGTGTGTATTCTCAGAATTGAATGGACAGAAATGCATATCGTTTGACAGGTAAAACAGTTCCCGTATATGTATGCAGCTGTTTGGCTGGAGTTCAGTTCTAGGCTTCATTCACACTTGGTGCTTGTGTTTTTATGCAGAGATGTGTCTGCAAAATCTCTCAGGCTAGATGCTTTGTTTATGCTTCTAGATGCTTAAAATGACACCTGTTTACACGCATATGCATTTAGATGCGTTTGTTCTTTGCCCACTAGAGTAGCCAGTGAGATTTCAGCAAATAAACAAGTCTTGCATTTAAATGCATTTTGGTGCGTTTAGAAGTTAAAATTGATTCCTGGATGCACCTGATTTGTATTTTTTCTAAACGCAGCTAAACTGACTGCAGATAAATGCATCTAAAGCAAGGTTTAAATAGATCCAATGGAAATCATTAGATGTATACAGTATATATATATAAATATATATGTGTGTGTTTAGAAAACCATTTTAAAGGCATATAAACGCACCTAAAGTTAATGTAGCTTTAAAGTAAGGGTACGTTTAGAATATTTGGCACTGTTCCAGCATGTTGCTGTTTTGTTCGGGTTTTTGTGCTAGTCTGTGTTTACTCCAAGTTTTCCCATTGCGACACCACGAGGCAACATGAGGAAATAAAAAGAAATGATTTTTGCTGACCTTAACCAATTTTTGCTGAGAAAAGTAGTAGAGCTGAGATTTTAATGAGGAGAAAATACATAAATGAAGCGGCTGAAAAATACAGAGAGAGGAATTTATCAAAACTGGAGCAGACAAAATCTGGAGCAGTTGTCCATGGCAACCAGTCAGCTTCACTCTTCAGTTTGTTCAGTTAAGATTTGAAAATGAACGAGAGAAGCTGATTGGTTGCTGTGCACAGCTGCTCCAAATTTTGTCTGCTCCAGTTTTGATAAATTCCCCTCATAGTGCGACCTTCCTGGTGTACTGCATCCCACCGCAAATATACCTTTTTCCTCAGTTCCTTTTGTCTCTCTCTGAAGTCTTCCAAACTCCGCAGTTCTTCCCTCACAGTTGCTGCTAGTTGAATGTGAGAGTTACCAATATTCTCAATTTCTGCAACAGCACAAAGCACATACTGAAATATTTCCACACACAAACAGCAATATGTATTATATTATTTCTCTAAAGTCAGTTTCTAATAAGTGGTAATAAACACAAACATTTTGTTCAAAAATTATACAATTCTTTAATGTGATCCTATTAGAATTAGGCCTCATGCACACTAGCAGGCTGTGACTAAGCCCAACAGAAGTTATCTGGAAAGTATAAAACAACTTTATGCTTCCCAGATCACTTTTTTCTGGGCTGGGCTTAGTCGCCTTTATACGCGTTTACATGCGTTTGCACGTGTTTAGCGGCATAAAACTGCGCTAGTCGGACCCAGAGCGCAGAAATTTCTATTGTGGGTAAACTGACCTAGACTGAAGGCACGTAGATGCTGCTGGACTCCTAGGTGTGCATTCAGTGATAGAAAAGCATTACATGAGTCCAGAAATGCGCTCCAAATGCACCTGAACTCAACATTTGTATACGTGGTGTGCATGAGGCCTTAGAGAGTTAGCATGCGCAATGACGTCACGGCGGGGTGTCACCCGGTCTTAGCTCCGGGTGTCACCCAGCCTCGGGACGCCCCTGATGCAATATATATCAATTGTGCACAGAAACCAGGCTTTTAAAACCTAAACACACAGGAGTTCATTTATAAAAGTTCAGCGCAAGAAGTAATGGACTTCACATGTGGTTATGTAGATTGAGAGGGAGTTGTACATCACTTGTGAGATTTAACACAGGATTTTCTATATGTACACATTTTATGAGATGTACTAGCACATTTTTTTTTCTATGTTTATTGTGGTTTATAGTGTCTAGAGTCCATTAGACCTAGAGCTTTTTCTTACTATCATCAGCACAGGCATTGTACAACACAGGTGTTGTGAATTACACAAAATTGTTTATCACTTTGTGACAATTTCACATTTCATACAATTCATACAAAGAAGCTCCTGTACTCCTTTTGGCGCAGGGCGTTTTGTAGCGCGTTCATACAGCCTGTAATATGCCCAGGTGTGAACCATACTCATAGGAAATAATGGGATTTCGGTGTTTGAGCGTTTTGCAGAGCGTAGGAACGCGCTACAAAACGCCCAGGTGTGAACCAGGCCTATTCCTAGCGCAGTTTTTTTCTATCTAACATTCCTATTACAATGTTGATGTTATACCAGGATAGTAAATGCTGGGACTTTACAACTCCTTTAAGTAACAAAGCAAATAAACATGAATTGTACGGAAACAGTAACAATAACCTTGAAATTAGGTCTTTGCATCTTCTTTTTCTTTATCGTTTCCTATATTTGTATTCAGTTTTATTTTGTGGATTTGTAATCTGTAGAATGTAGTGTTTGCTCTGCACCAGCACATGATCCTGTTCCCATGAATCAATCCCTTTCTCAGAAACAGCAAAGCCTGAAAATACTTTATAAATGCAAAAGTTCCCAAAGCCTGTGTCAGTATGAATGAAAAAATAGGATTTACTTACGCTGTTTTAATGCCTCAAATGATCCTCGCAGTTTGCTGGAATTCATAAGAAGAAGAATGAATACATCATCATCATCTAATATATGATTAGACGCTCAATAAACATGTGTAACGAGAATCAGCTCACCACAAGCAAAATTGGCCCACTTCATTAAAGGCTGAAATCAGTTTGCATGTCTATATTTATCTGATTTTCAATGCAAGCCATAGAGCATCTATGGTTAAAGACTAAAAATGAATATGTATTTCTATACTTGGTTCAACTTTCCATAAATTCAATTTCACTCCTTATATCCATATCGAGCTAGAAGTTTGCAAACTTATTGAAAATGCCCATAGGATGTACTTCCTCAGTGCACTGATACAGTTTTGCTCAGCCACGTGAATGTGCACTTTCTTGTGTCACCACCCTCACAGAGACTGCCTTCTGAACTTCAACTCAATGTCAGAAATATGTAACATTATCGTTGCTTGCTGGAAGCAATGCATGATGGCATATGTAGTCTGGGGAAATTGAGATTGCATCACATTAAGCAGCACAACCTGGTTCCCTCAAGCACTCTGACATCATCATGTAACATGCAGGACCAGCAGTTCTGCATTATAAGTGAGAACGCTGAGGGCCTGTCGACAACCTGAAGCATGAGAGAGAAGAGCAGAGCTCTGGCCACTGGTAAGTAAAACTGCTGTTTATGTTACCCCTAGGCAAAAACGAGTATTAAAACTTCACAGTGCTTTTGGTTTTAACCTTTAACCAAGTTCAGCTTTAAGCATATAATTATAATTATGTTAATGGGTATCAACAGGCCCGGCGCTACCGCAAGGCAAGTCAGGCGGCCGACTTACGGCGCTGCAGGGTGAGGGCAGAAAAAACAGGGCATTTTGACAAGTACTTGTACTTGTCAAAATGCCACGATGTTTGCGCTATGTTTTTTTTCCACTTACCTTCGGTCGGGAGAGCAGCGGCGAGTCAGCGCTGGTCCAGTGGGAGGAGCCTTAGGTGGGGTCCTAATTTAGCTGGCCAGCAACTGCCAGAGGATCCCGACACGCGTGGCACCTCAGGTGCAGGCAAGGTGCAAAAATGCACCTTAGCTGTGTAGGCAAGGATCCTAGCACCGGCCTATTTGGTCCAGAACTTCATATGGTATAGCCAGGGTCATGTGAGCTAAGAAGTAGGTAAGGAATTATTTATATGAAGGATTCTGTTCTGAACATCCGAGGACCATTGTTGTAGAGCAGGAGTATCAAACTCAATTCCCTTGGGGGCCAAAGGACACATTTTCTTTTCCCATGGGGGGCACTTGCCAAACTTGATCAAATTTCATCCTTCAAAACAAAATGTAACTATATACAGTACCAGTGTTAATGTCTGCATGGGTTTATAATGTCAGTATATGTGTTTGTGATGGTTTCTTTCCATGCAATGTCAGTATATTTTATAGGTTTGTGTGTATTGTCAGGATTTCTGGGAGTAATGTTGATATGTCTGGTAATGTTTCTGTGTGTGTCAGTATGTAATAAGGATGCACCATATCGGTATCGCTGCTGATACTGCACATTTTGTTGAGTACTCATGAAAATGCCCAGATACTAAACGCGGATACCGGCACTTTAACATTTTAAACTGAAGCGCTGCTTGAGGTCCCGTGATTGCAGGGGACCTTGGCAGACTTCCTGTGATTTGAGGCGTCTGTTTACAGCGCCGGCCGCACATCTCGTTCTTCCTGAGCAACCCCCCCGCCTGCATCCACCCTCTGGACCCCTGGTGAGATCCCGCACAGCCTACTTGAGACTCCGTACAGCCCTTGTGAGACCCTGCACAATCCTTGTGAGATCCTGCACAGCCCCAGGGAGACCCCTCACAGCCCCAGGGAGACCCCTCACAGCCCCAGGGAGACCCCACATAGTTACATAGTATTTGAGGTTGGATAAAGACACATGTCCATCAAGTCCAACCTATTTGTGTATGTGTGTATGCTCCTATTGGTGTGTAGTATGTATAGGTCCCTTGTGTGTTTTCAATTTTAAGAGTACTTGTACCCCTGTATATTACGGTCCCTGAGGAAATCGTCCAATCGCCTCTTGAATGATTCCACACCTTTAGCCGAAATCACAGCATGTGCCACGAATTCCAGAGCTTGACCGATCTAACTGAGAAGAAACCCCTTCGCCCCTTGTGCTGACATTTTTTCTCCACCAATTTTAAGTGGTGGCCTCTCATCCTTGTCATCGAGTTAATTGTAAAAGGTTTGCTGCTAATGTAACTATCCCCGGTAAACATTTTATACATGAAAATCATGTCCCCCCTTAATCTCCTTACTTCCAAGGAGAACATGTTTAATAACTCAGGTCCTCCATCCCTTTTATGATTTGTATCCTCCCTGTTCACTGGTGCCCAAAACTGGTCCGCATACTCCAGAAGAGGCCGAACTAGTGATCTATAAAGTGGCAGAATTACGGACTTGTCCATGCAAAACATTCCCCTCTTGATACAGGAAAGGACTCTGCTTGCTTTGTTTACCGCTGCCTGATACTGCAAGCTATTTTTCAGCCTGTGGTCTACAATGACCCCCAAATCTGTTTCCCTTTCGGACTTTCCGAGGGGAGCTTCCATTAGTGTGTAATCCGTTTTTTTGTTTTTAACCCCAAAGTGCGCAACTCTACATTTATCTACATTAAACCTCATCTGCCATCTGGTTGCCCACTGATCCCACTGTAATGTTATAGCGTCAGTTTCAGTGTCTATTACCCTCCCTATTTTGGTATCATCAGTAAACACTGAAACATGGCTGTTTACCCCCTCCCCAATATCGTTAATAGATTAAACAGCATTGGGCCCAGCACAGACCCCTGCGGAATGCCGCTCATGATCCTAGCCCAATCCGAGAAGGTGCCATTTATCGATACTCTTTGTACTCGTTCCTGTAGCCAGTTCTCTATCCATGTACACATTAATTCATCTATGCCCATAGACCTCAGCTTGTATAGTAAACGTTTATGAGGTACTGTGTCAAATGCTTTAGCAAAGTCCAAGTATACCACATCCACCGGCCTCCCTCCATCCATCCAGATCTCTACTTACCTCTTCGTAAAAAGTTAGCAGGTTAGTCTGACAAGAACGGTCTTTCCGAAATCCATGCTGGTTGTCATTTACTGTGCAATTTTCCCGAACAAATTCTACTAGGTGGTCCTTAATCATGCCCTCTAACACTTTACAAACTACCAATGTAAGGCTAACCGGTCTGTAGTTCCCCGGATGGCATCTGGACCCTTTTTTGAATATCGGAACCGTCTTCCCATTTCTATACCCAATATTGAAGGTAATCACATAGGGGTCAACTTCATACTGGACAAGGCTCCGGCTTCCCCCCTGGAGATAGACCGAGTCCACCGCGTGGGAGGACCCAGGCCAGACGGGGACCCGAGGCCTAGGGACATTCTCTGTCGTATTCATTTCTTCGCTGAGAAGGAAACCATCATGCACAAACCATGGCAGAAGGGCCCCATCCCCTTTGACGGAGTGGACATTTCTATCCTTCCAGACCTATCTTGCCGCACACTCCATATGCGGCGGACCCTACAACCTCTCCTCGAGATCCGCCGGGCTGGGGGCCTCTACACCTGGGGATATCCCTTCAGCCTGAGTGTGCGCCGGAACGGCCGGACCTTCCTTCTACGTCACCCGACCCAACTGGAGGAACTTTTCACTTTCCTAGAAGTGCCACCTGTGGAGGACACGAACTGGCTTGGCCCTCACCTAGACGTCAAACACCGGCCTCTCCCCCAGAGGCGCCGCAGCACTTCCTGGACCAGGCCCAGGGCCTTCCGCCCTGCACCCACGGCTAATGAGCCCTAAACCTCCGAGGCCTCGTGACGATTTGCCTTCATGCTTCATCCCCAGCGGGCTCCTGCGTATACAGTCCCCGCTGGTTGCCCTGATGACTACTGGCTAGTGACATTCCCTGGCCATGCGGAACACTCCACATTGGTACCCCATTCTGCCCTCGGACTATCCTGCCAGCGGGACCACCCCAGTCGGCAAGGACTGGCCCTCGGGCTATCCCTCCTTCTGCTGAATGCCCCTGGACCCAAATACCACTGGACTGCCACTTCACCCCCTGCCTTACCAGACCTAGCCACTGCCGGACTGCAGGATGTCCTCTGGACCGTCAGCACTGGACCCCCCTGGACAGGTGTGTATTGTGTGTTACTGTTTGCACCAGGTAGAAACTTTTGAGTTTTCCGCCTTATATAGTTTATCATTTCTCTGATACCTTTGCCTTTGTGTTTACCTCCAGCGCAGCCTCCCTCTAGAGGGCTATCCCAGTGGACGGGACCAGATGAACCACTCTTCTCGGATGCTCTCCACGATGGCCATCCCACTGTTGCTCACTGTGTTGATGATACTAATGTTAGCTTTAGTTTTTGCTGCTGTTGTTTCTATGTTATTGAAAATGCACTTACATATGTCTTTGTTGATAAGGTTGGGACCTTGTTTACCTGTCCCTCCTTATACAGTTCCTGATGTCTAGGTGATAGCATCTCACCATGTTTGGATTTTACCCCAGCTGTGCTCCCCCGCCCGCTGACCGTAGTCCACCACTTTCCCCCACATAGGTCCTCGGCTCTGCCCAGACCCCCGGAGACCCTTAGCTCCCCTTTGGGGCCTGTGGTGACCCGAACAGCGAG